CTTAGAGAAGAAGGGGACCAACGAGGCGCGTGAAGTTGGGTTTTACTGTTTTGCTTGGTTGCCATGGTAATGGACAGAAACGGCCAGAGTGAAGTTGCGAGAGGCGCGGGAGTGATGGCGAACACAGCTTGACTAAGACTGGGAGGCAGCGCCAGGCGAGTTACGTCACAATTTATGAATGGATTCTGGACGCTTGGGCTAACGTGTCTGCTCGCACTGTTGTTCGAGCTTTCTGAGGAGCCGCACGGCAACTGGGCTGACTCTGACAATGGCGCGAGGGAACCTGGTATGTTTGATTGTGTCGTTGCCCAGCTGTTCATTTCGGATACAGAAGGTGAAGATCGATTGGAAAAAATAAATAACGTGAGTACATTGTTAAATACGTCAATAAAATGCAACCGAACTCAGTTTTGCTCCCGCTGCCTTTTTAAAAACATACGCTAGTGTGCATGCATGCTACCGTATTTTTAAGTTACTGTTTACCATGCCTGCGTCCAATAATACAATGCGTTTTGCGTATGTGTTAAATACAGAAATAACACCCGTAACGCCTTTTAATACGGTGCGGCGTTTTTTTTTTTTTTGTTTGTTTTTTTAAACACTGATGTATTGTTGCTACAAAAGGTGCTAATTTAGCCCTTTCGGACAGCGGTTACTACAGTGGACACCTTGTCATGTTATCAGGTTACATGGTGTATGAAAGGGTTAAAACAAACATCAGTCACAAAAATAGAGCTTTATAAATACATTGTATTTGTTTTCAAAGACGCTTTACAAGACAAAAACATAAAACATATTAAAAAGGTACCATTGAAAAAATAGTAACAGCAATTCGAAAAAGGTCCTCGTCGTTTGATGTGATACAATGAGGCTCATTGTTGTCTTTTCGTAACTGTTTGAAAAGGCTTACTTTCGGTGATGCTGTCTTCACCGTCCTGGGAAGAGTCCTACCAAAAACCAGGACGCCTGAACGCCACGAGGATAGACAGCAGGAAGTAGATGAGCTCCACCGGCCGGGTGTGGGGTCCGGAATATTGACCGGATGTGGCGGAGGGTGGTCGAGTAAAGATGTACGGATGCTCCTGTGACACCACAAACAGAATTATTTTTTTTTTCAAAAGATTCAAATGGGGGGGGGGGGGAACCAAAAAAAAAAACCGTTCCATCGGAGCTAGCATGCTAGCACCACACCAGACAAACATGTTCTGTTATGATTTGAGTGCGCGTGACAAGATGGGGGGAAAAAAATTAAAAGGGCAGTGGTTTCATTTCAATGTCATAGCACAAAGCCAAATTGATTTGGAAAAATATTGGACACATGATACTAATCACATCTCTCCCATTGTCTCCCAGAATACTATACAAGATGGTCATGGTTTAATATATGACATCATCACCTCACCATGGGTGGACAGACGAGAGTGATGGGGTCTGAAAAACTGCTCACAACTGTCTTTCCTCCCTCTGGCTGAAACTGCGCACAGAGAAGCATGGAGTGATGCTTTTTTTTTTTTAAATAGAAATTTAAAATCAAATTAATAGCCATCATCTGGTTGACCATGTTGTTCCAGAGGCCCTTGGCCAGCTCCTCATGACCTTTGATGGTGAAGTGGAAGCAGTCGTGGGTGAAGAAGCTCATGTCAATCTTGCCGCTCTGCTCGGAGAAACGACACAAGCGAGTGAGCGAGAAGAAACGGGATGTTGTGCTTGATGATGTCACAGCGTTGTTGTTGTTGTTGTTGTGGATTACGGGAAGGCGAGGAGGGTCGGCCTGTTTTAAAAATGGCTGCAAGACCACCGCAAAGTCATCTCGGAAGAAGCGATCGGCGAGCAGCAACGCTTCCAATCTTCTCTGTGGAAGGAAGTCAAAACGGAAATTGTTGTCAGGGACACTCTGTAACATGAAATTTAGGAGGCATGTCCATCATAATAAGACCAGAAAAAAAAAATAACCTATGCCACGAACCAGAAGCTATTTTAGTCCAAAGAAGACACAAAGGGTCTTTTTGGCCATTTCCAGGACAGTAGAACACTTTTTTTTGGGTCCCCAAAGCCAGTTTGACTTAAAAACATGAAATTTGATAGACATGTCTGTCTTGTTTAGATGCACCAGAAAAAAAAAATCATGCCAGAAATGACACTGAAGTCTGACAAATTAGCCTTATTAGGCTCATTTTGGCCATTTTGTCCTAAAAAGGAGAAATTCAGCGCAGCAAAAAAAAAAAAAAAAAAAGATCTTAGACAAGTACAACAAACTTAATAGTGTGGAACAGTAAAAGGATGTCATGGTTGCACCTGAAACTCCAGATTAAGTTCCACCAGCTCACGTAGCTCAGCAGAACGGGCCACCGGTTCAATCAGACACGAGCAGAAGGAGCTGAAGTCGATTAAATTCATATTAGACCGTTAAAACTCGAGTCTTGGCCTTCAAGTTTTCAAGCAAGAGTGTTTGGTGATGCCACTCACCGCTGGAGAAGGCAGCCCGGCGTGGGCTTCTGCACCTCCCTGAGGGTCTGCATGGGAAGGATCTGCACCACGTTGACGATCATGCGAGGAACCTGAAGGAGGAAAAAAAAAAAGCCATCCGGTAAAAATTAATGTGAGTTGCATCATTATCGTTCTATTTTCAAGATCTGTCATTGACCTCATTCATGAGCATTTCCAAGGAGACTGTCATGTAGTGAATGAAGTTCTCGGCAGAGAAGAGCGCCTTGAAGGGAAAAAAAAAAAATCAAGAAAACTCACTTCCAGATACATGAAAGGAACATTTGGATAGATGACAGACAGATCCAATCAAACAGACTCTTGATTATGGAGAAGACGGAAAAAGAAGAAAGACGCACCTTGTCTTTGCAATAGTCGCAGATGTCGTTCATGCCCATGAGGATGGTCAGCAGCTTCCAGTCTTGCTCAAAGTTTAAACCCTGGAGGAAGAAAGACAATCATGTCAGATGGAAGGAAAACAGGGCAGACTTTGCCTGCACAATTTTGTCCTCCGTCTTCCAGTAGTTCGGTTCTTGTGTTGTCCCAATACTTTTGTCCACCATAGCCAACACTTTGACTTTCAAGTCCATTGTTTTTTATTGGCAATCAACAGATCTGATTTTTTTTTTCCTTTTGAGGCCGGCGTCGATTCTGATATATTTGACAGAATAAAATTTCAACAACCATTTCACCCCCCAAAAAAAAAAAAAATAATCAATGTACAGAATATAATGAATAAAATAAGTTACTTTTTTGGTCACTTAAGGCTTGCAACAATGAAAAATATGAAGGACACGGAGAACTCAATGTGATGAGCATCCTTTTTTTTTTTTTTTTTACCTCACCTCAAAACCTCTGAGCGTGTCAATCAAATGTCTTGTCTGACCAGGGAGATTGCTGGCAAAGAAAAAGGGCGCGTGGGGAAAGGAGGGGGAGCAGTGAATACAGAAGTGAGTTGCCATGGAAACGCAAATGGCATTTATGCGAGGCAGGAACATTTCATACAAGGTGTTCTGTCCCGTCACGGCCAGGTTAAGCCCCGTTTGCCCCACGTCAGCCTCCATGCCGTGAAGCGTTTTCCCTCGGGCGGCACCCAGCAGGTTGGGATTGAAAAGTTTGATGATGTCTGACACACACACGCAATCATGTGATTAATGGAAGGCGGCATCGAAAAAAATGGAACATGTCCACAGTGATTAAAAAAAAACAAAAAAAAAAAAAAACACTTACTGGGCAAAGTAATGACGTCCTCATATGAGCCATAACCTCCGATGCTAGAAAACGACAAACATTTCATCACTCACTGGACACTTCAAATAATCTAATTTTAAGAAAAATGCTTCTTGATGCCATAATTTCCTGGAGTTAAAAAAAAAAAAATCATGAAAGAAAACTTCGCCCCGTTCCAATTCGATGGGCGTCCACTGTAGTCGTTGCCTCACCTCCAAGAAACGTGACGGAACTCGATGGGAATGCCCAGGACGGTGGTAGCGTTGGCACCGATGGCCGTCTGTACGAAAAGGACGCGCGCACACACACACATTGAAACGTCCAACATGGCTAGAAAACAAAAACAGGAAATGTTCAAAAGCAGCACCTACTGTGAGAGAATCACCCAGGGCGGCGACCACTTTGATATCGCCTGCCTTCACCAACTCCACTAGAAGGGAAAATGAAGATGAGGAAAATCACGCGGTGTGTGTGTATGTATGTATGTATGTATGTATGTATGAGACAGTCAGTGAGCCACCTGAGGAAGGGGCTGAAGGAGAGGGGCTCATATCAGGACACTGGAAGGCTGGATGCTTGAAGCCGACTGGACGAGTTTTGTTTGGAAACTCCTGAAGAGAAATGGTTGTTATTAAGTTAACGGCCAACAGAGGAACAACATTCGAAGATCCTCAAGCCCTCATTCAGGTCTTCAATATCAAGTTTGAATCCATGTGATTTGTTGCCTTTAGGAAATCTGTATGACATCGAGCGCCCCCTAAAGGCAAAACATCCGAAATAGACAGGAACGCATCCGGTCTAAAGTCAGACCTTCAAAATAAAACGACCGTAGGGGGTAAAGCAAATGTGATGAAATTGTCAACATCCTGTTGTGCTTTAATTTTGAACGCTTGACGTCTAACAGCATGTTACACCGATGTTGCCGAGTAAATTGGGAGACTTGTTATTGCGTTGAGTTGGAGAATATGTTTTGCCGGCTTGTTGAGCCACTTCTACAAAATACGCCAGAAAGTTCACATTGCCGACTTTTTGATAAAGAAGGCCAGGAACAAGATGAGGTTTAACAAATAACTCTCAAGAAAATGACCCTCATACGCCATCGAGAGTCTTCAGTAACTGTTTTCGTTAAACTTTCTGAAACTGATTAATTAAGGAAACCGAGAACAGGTTAAAAGCTAGCTTCGAACGGCGATTTAGGTGCGGCAAACAAAGCAATTTCACCATGGAAATATATATTTTTAAAAGTAAATACTACCTTATTGAGTGCCTCTTTGCTGTAGTGCCGTATTCCCTCTTCATATTTCCACCACCAGAGGTCACCTTAGAAATAAAAGATGCTTTGCTAACTGAAAAATAAAACGCTGCGAGCTGATGAGTAAAAATACAAACATCACCAGACGGGGTTTCCAGCACTTTACCTTTGACACAGCGTGACACCAGCACACACGTTGCTACGGCAACGCAAAGCCACCCCATAGTAGGAGCGGTGTCTGTCAGTGGGGCACCCCTGCGGCGAGTCAGTTCAGCACTTTCGTGGCCGGGCTCCGCCCACGAGAGATGATTGGCAGCTGGTCTGGACCAATAAGGAGCACTGTCCCCACCCGCCTCCACACACACACACAGACAACCTTTTTAAAAATAATAATCCATGCAGTTATTCTTTGATATTTCCCAATGTTTTATTAATTTATTTGGAAACTTAATAAAAATTGGTCAGTGTTTCATTTCATTTGTTTAATGTGTCATGCATCTGGAAAGAAAAAAAAAATGGTGGTTTCAGTTTTGCTTGAATACCAAGTTTCCTCAGGGTTGTAGTCGTAATGAAGGTGATTGTTCAACGAAAAAAAAATGGGGGGGGGATTAAAATTAAATAATGAGGGAGAAAAAAAGAAAGTCTGGAAAATCCCAGTCCAGGCGCTGCATAAATTAAGGTTTTGTTTAGTACTACACTCTTTCCATAACTAATATCTGTTGAGAAAAAAAAAGGTGTTTGAAATTAAATGAAACATGAAAAAAAAACACTTTCTTCCACAGGACTTTGAAAATAGATGATATTTGCTTTGATCATTTGTAATCCAGCGTATTTGGTTCCCGAGCCCCGGGAGTCCGACATCTTTGTCTTCCAGTGAAGAAACTGCACCCCGACGCCGGCCATTTTGAGTCTTTGGGAGCGAACCCGAATGCGGGCACGTCGAGCCGGCAAGCGCGAGCTACTCAGCAGAGTGTTCGTTCATTTCCTGCCGTTTTCACGCCAGCTCCTCTTCCTCGGCTTGGGCTTGCGGTTGCTCCTGCTGGATTTCGGCGGCGTCGGCGGCTGGCGGTTGTGGCGGTGGAGTTGGTGGCGCGGCGGGGTGAGGGGGCATCATGATGTGGTGCTGGCGTTGGCGCTGGCGGTAGGCAATGATGGTGCCGAGCAGCAGCGCGATGACCGTCATGAGGTAGAGGTCCCACTCGGGGCCCAGGAGCTGGTCCAGGTCCACCTGAGAGAGCAGCTCCCAGAGCTGACAACAAGGGCAAGATCAGTTCACGCTGAAATTGGGAGTCATCGGGTCATAACTGATGCTACGTTGATCATGTGAGGTGCAGGTATTACTTTTGTCCACTTAAGAGTCACCCTTCTCACATTCTGTGACTTTGAGTGTTTGGCTTGAGTGACGTGGGTTTCAGTGAATGAGAGTGTTGAGTCAGCTGTTTGATAATTTTTTCCCCTTTCTATTTTTCATTCTAATATTTGGGTTCGTCTATTTTTTTTCTCTAAAAATTGCTATATATCTTTTTCATCTATTTTACCACTTCTGACTCCTATTACAGGCCCTGTACTTGGTATTTCATACCGTAGTATTTTCACCATATTTTTCCTCGTACTTTTATATTTCTTGTTGTTGTTCATATTTTTAATCTTCATTTTGTTTAAACTCGTTTCAGTCGAAAAATGGCCTGCACTGAATGAGTTCCATATTTTTATTTTTCATTTATTCCCCGAAGGCTACTGTCAGAGAGCCTGCATTTCGTATTTTTATCCATAGTATTTTTTTCCCTAATAATTTTTTTATTTACTTTTTTCCCCCATTGAGTAGCATTTTTTCCCTAATATATGAGTATTTTTCAGGCAGTAGCTTGTCATCCAGATTTTTTTCTACATTTGAACTACTTTCTTGTGACTACTGCTGGACCCTGCATTTAGTATTTTTTTTTCTAATTTTTTATCATTTATTGTTCTTAGTACTTTAAGGGTTTCATTCCTTATATTTTTCCATTTATTTTCACAATAGATGAAAAAGAAAAATCATGAATATTTTGTTTTAAATCTTGCAGCTACTACTGTAAACTCAACATTTAGTTTTTAAAAAAAAAAATTATTAATTTATGTCTGATAGTTTTGTGGCAGAAACTAGTTCATTGCGCGCCGTTAGCACCCTCAAAATCTCCTATTTGGAGACCGCTGCACTCCAACGTCCCTTTATACTTCTCCACCGAACTTTTCTGCTTGATGGAAACCACTTCACGGACAAACTCAAAAGAATACCATGTGGGCCTATGAGCTGTGTAAAATGGTAAGCGATGACTACTCACATTGAGGTCCTGCATGTAATGCAGGGTGTAGACCAAACCTAGCTTGCACAAAGCCAGGAAGACTGGCACCTGGGCATCGGGACTGGCTTCTGCCGCCATGTCGTAAAAGCGCTTGGCCAGGTGGATGTCCTGTGAGAGGGCCAATGATGTCATCCCAGAGCGTTTTGGCAAGAGGGTCGAAATTGCGGTACAACGGCCACACGTACCTGTTTGATCCCCAGTCCCTTCTCGTGCATGTAACCCAGGTTGAACATGGCCTGGGCGCTGTTCTGCTGCTCTGAAGCCAGCCTATAGTGGATGATGGCCGTCTCGTAGTCCACGTCGGTGCCGAAGCCGTAGAAGTGGTAGTCGCCCAGTTTGATCCGGGCCACTGTGTAACCTGACGGGAAGAAGAGGTCCGGCGTGATGACAATGCCTGATGGGATATGCGGGGTGGGATGTGTGAGCACACCTTGAGCAGCGGCTCTGGTCCAGTGAAGCAAAGCCCGAGGATACGTCTCATTTTCGTTGAAGATTTTGGCGCCCTCTGGTGGCGGAGGGAAAAAAAAGCAAGTTTCGAAGTGCTGCAACATCATCATCTGATTTCCATTTTACCCATGTATATATGTCAGTGGAGTAACTTTATCTGGTTTTTAATTTTCAAATACCACTTTGGTGAAAATAAATAAATAAATAAAAAGCTACAACGTCATCCTACTCTGGTCCAGAATGAAGGCCACGTTGCTCTGGGCCACCTCGTAGCCCTGCTCGGAAAGCAGCAGGTACTGCACGAGCGCCGCGTCGCTGTCGCCCTCCTTGAAGCTGCCGTACGCCGTCAGCAGACGCTCGGACCAGCGGCCGCGCTCGCACATGTTCTTGAACAGCTGCCCAAAAAAAAAAAAAAAAACAGGCACACAAATTAAAGGTCTGTTTTCCCAGCTACTTTGTCAGTTGGCAGGAGAGAAAGATAACTTTTTTTTTTTTCATGGCAATTTTCAGAGTGACGTAGCATCGAATACTAAGAAAAAAAACCAAACCTGATTGTCAAGCATTAAATTTTGGGGTGGATCTGGATAAAGGATTTTTTCCTCCCCCTCAACCTTGATGTATGTTTGAATGATAAATCAAATTAAAGAAAAAAATAATAATTTCAAATAAAGTACGTTATATTCCAAATAAAATTAATTAAGATGTAAAAATTGAAGGTCAATCATTAAGCCTTATAGTGTCGAAACATTTAGTTCTATTCTACCTTAAACAGCATTTAACAGAGAAGTTTCTATTGACTAAAAGCATCAGACTGCAAAGAGAGTGTGTGTGTGTCTAACCTCCACCGCTGTGTGACACGAGCGCATGACACCGGTGCCGGTGGCGTGCATCTGGGCCAGGTTGTAGAAGGCCAGGATGTGGCCCGCCTGCGAGGCCAGGTTGAAAAACTTGAGCGCCTGCTTGTAGTCACGCTTCACGCCCATGCCATCTGCAGCGCACAAATACGGAATTGCTCAACATCTCTGCCGCCCCCCGCAAAAAAAAAAAAAAAAAATGAAGGTCCGTGACTCACTATAGTACATGGTGCCCAGCTGCAGCTGGCCGTCCACCCAGCCCTGTTCGGCTGCCTTCTGGAAGTACTTCAGTGCCAGCTCATAGTTCTGAAAAGGACAAACAGCTCATGAAAGCGGTTTGCGCCGTCTTTGTCAGGGACTGTAATCATGTTATTTACCACCGAGACGCCTCTTCCATAAAGGTACGCCATCCCCAGGCCACTCTGACCCACCGGGTTTCCCTGCATGGTTTCAAATTAGAACGTCAAGCCAGGATTAGCATTTCGAATACGGACTTCAAACCAGGATGATGGCTTTCAAAGTAAATCTGACCAGGTCGGAAGCCTTCTTAAAGTACTGCAGGGCCGTCTCGTTGTTCTGAGGCAGGTAGTTGCTGCCCTCACTGTACATCTGAGGGACGAAAACCACAAGACGGAAAAAAGCCGTCAAGTCATTCCAAACTCAGACTGTAGAAAAAAATCAGATTGAAGCAGTTCAATTCCAGTCCAGTGGGTGGCAGTATAACACTCACCTTGCCCAGAAAAGCCATGGCATGGGTATTTCCTGCATTGGCGGCCTGGTTGAAGTAGTCATACGCCCTCTGTTGGACGGGAAGGGTCAGACCATTCATCAGCAGGGGGGTAAAAAAATAAAATAAATAAAGATTTGAAAACTACGATCTCAGGGGGACGTGATACCTGATGATTCTGTTCCACGCCTCGTCCTCCGTGCAGGTGAAGTTGACCCAGTCCCACCTGACCAGGGCAACAAGGTTAAGGTCTCAAGTTAAGGTTGAAGAGTTTAAAAGACAGAGTGAGGGTTTCAAACCAGCATTTGGGTTTGAAATCTGAGCTTCAAACCAGGATTGGAGCTTCTGAACTGAGTTTTCAGTCTGTCTTTCAAACCAGGATTCGGGTTTTAGGGTTTTGAGTATGCTTTCAAACAAAGGTTAGTGCAAGTCAGGTTTAGGGAGTTATCGTTTTGAGATGGGCTTTCAAATTAGGGTATCTAAATCTTTTTTTACCATGATTTTTTTTTTGTCGATTTCTACTTTTTACCTGCGCTTGCACGTCCCCTTTCTCAGCAAGGAACTGGTAGTACTGGATGAGGTCCTCCTCCAGCATGCCACTGGTGGAGCCCGGGTTCTCCAGCTCGTCCAGCAGCCGGATCTTCTGCACGGCCGTGCCCCCCGTCAGCGACACGTCGCTGGCCACTGAGCCGAAAGGAGAGGAAAAAAGCCGTCAGCGTCCGTTTGAAGGCGACGGGCGAGCGGCTGAGGGCGACGCGTTCTCACCCTGATTGGCCACCAGCTTGTAGTGCGTCAACGCAGACTCGCAGCTTTGGGGAACGCCCACACCGCCCCAGTATCTGTAGCCCTAACCAATTGCATCATTGGAAATGTCATTTATTTATTTATTTATATTTGAATGCAGCTGCTGCTTCATTCACGGTTAAGAAAACACACCAGAATCATGTGAGCGATCAAGTTTCCGCCCAGGGCACCAAACGTGTAGTACACCAATGCCTGCAATGACAAGAAAAGGGCCATTACACAATTGATACCGCTATGTGCACTGTAGTAATTAAAAAAAAAAAAAACTGTTTCAGAAAATAATGCACTAAATAGGAAAACATTTCAAAATGCACACGAAAAAATTTGATTATAAACAAAAACAAAAAATTCAATTGTGAAAATAAATCAGGACCAATCACTACATTTATAAGAAAAAAATATTTTTACAATTTTTTTTGTATACTACAATTAATGTATTATGGATATGTGATAATAAAATGACAATTCCAAATACATAAAATAGACCCCAAAAATTTAAATAAATAAAAGTGTCAAAAACAAAAGACCAGTACCAGGTAAAAAACGAAATAGTGTAGTTTCAAATAAAACTTAAAGAGACTTCATTATTTCTTTTTTTATATCACAGCATGAGCGCACGACTACAACAGCGATATTTAAAAATACAGCAACACACACCTTCGCTTGACTGGAGTTGACTCCAAGTCCTGCGGCGTACAGAAATCCAAGAGCCTGAGGGGGGAAGAGAGAAAAACAAGACAGAGCAATTGAGGCACACCCCAAAAAATACAAAACAACAAAAACAACCACAGCTAAAAGGGGTGGCTTTGACGGGCTGCATTCATTTAATCAGAGCAACTCATTGAAATGAATCAAAATGCCATTCAGCTGAATTATTTTACTTCCTGCTCAACTGGGACAAATTAAAACACTTCTGCGACATTAGCTTCCTTTTGGAGCACTGACTTCAGTGACCAAATCTGTTCGTCATCTGGCTTCGGCCCTTCATTGATGCATCTCCTTTGCACATTCCCGGACATACAATAAAGCTGACTGAACAAAGGTTTAACGAGTACCGTCTGCGCTTTGGGGGAACCCTCGGCAGCGAGCTTCTCAAACATTTCCTGAGCCCGGCTGACATTCTGACTCATGTAGTCGCCGAACAACATGGCGTACGCCACCTTCTCCGTGGCCCGCTGGTGGCCTCCCTCGGCCACCTTCAGCAGCTTCTCGTACAGCCTGGAGAGGTCGCGGGGAGCGCAAGGGAGACAAGTGAAGTTGGACAAAGAAAAGACTCACTTAGAAACATGCGAAAAGGTCGTATTGGGCAAACTGTAATGACTTGAGAGCAGACCGGGCACTCACGCTTTCCTCTGGCTCTTCCTGCTGGTGCCGTTGAGCATGCGCAGGAAAGTCTGGTACTCATTCTCTGCCTCCTGCGCCTGCAGTCTCTGCTGCGCCTGCTCGTCGGCTATGGGGAACGACAGGGGCTTATTATTAACGAGCCAGATCATGTGCAAAAAAACAACAACAACAAAAAAAAAAAAAACACATGCACCTGCCTTTGCGTGAGCGCGCACTTCCACTCACAAAACCACCAACACACAACATACACACAAAAAAAAAAACCCCAAAACAAATGCACACACAGACACACGCGGGCACCGGCACAGAGTCCGAGTTGCGACGTACTTTCACAGAAGCCCCACTTCTTGTCGTTGTCATAGTTGTACGTGGTGGCGCACCACAGTCGTCCGTCCCCTCGGCCGTTGGCGGTGCAGTCAAAGTACTCGTTGCCTTGGAAGACGAAGGGGAAGACGCAGGGCTCTCCGTCGGCCGTGCCGCCGTTCACGACGGGAACTGGAGGGAGGTTAGAAAAAAAAAAAAAAATAAAAATTCACAGAAAGGTCCACCTAAAATGTGGCACATTTCTACATAACGTGATTGACGACTTTTCCTGCATCTGTGCAAAGTACGACCCACCTTGCAGGGTCTTCCGTTGGCGCTGACAGGGATTTGTTTTCACCCGATCATTAATGTGGGAGTTTTATCATGGCAACCTTGTTCAAATCAGAAATCTCACAGCTCATACTGTATTTTGAAACGTGCAAGCGGAATCAAAGAGACCAAAAATATCTCGCTTGGCGAGGTTATAAAGTACGTGGCACAGGTGCGCAGCGCTTGTCATTTCTCAAGGGAGTGTCAAGGTTGCTCTTGTCATCAGTCAGCTAGTGAACTGTGCTCATTCTTGCATGTGATTAAAAAAAAAGTAGCTAGTAGCAATCTGGAGAATTTCCAACACTTGCCTTCTTTCCGTTTCTGCACTTGAACATGTAGTTCTGGGAGGTCCTCCTTCTCTTCTCCTGGCAGAAAGTCTCCTGGATGCCTCTCTGCTTCTGGCACATTACGAGCGTGAGGGGCGGCGGCGGAGGTTGCAGAAACGGGCGGTAGAGTTTTAGAGTTTAAACGGACGTCGTCCTCTTCTGATTCGGGATCGTGGTAGGGCTACAGTCAGCAAGGAAAGGGAATAATTATAATGCGCCCAATAATTGGGCATGCATGGTTGATGGTAACAGCTAAAAGTGGATCCACCACTTAATGGGGCAGAATTTGAGCACGTCCCACTAAATTAAAGATCCTGTAAAGTGAATTCAGAGATTAGCATCTGAATTTAAAAATGGACGTAAACACAACCTAAAAAGACGGAAAGCTTTGTTGTTTTAATTTGTGCACATCGAGCATTCGGAAAGTCATCTGGCATGGTTGGCTTGGAGTGCCACTTTGTCCAACATTGAGTGCGTGCAGGGAACAAGGGGGACGGCAGAATTTTTCTAATACTGGGGAGACTTGACAGCGTGACATTCGAGCTGGCATGGATGCTTTAGAGCGCCTTGTTGTTGGCCTGAGTGCACACTGGCACTTAGTGCACACACATCACGGAGGGAATTTGGGAGAGCAAGACATCTTTTCACTTTACAGGGACTTTAAAAAGTGTTCAAATGTTGACAATGGTAATGCGTGTTGGCCGTTTAGACCCACCTTTAACTCCGGTCTGTCATTCCCGTGTGGCTCTTCGGCTGGAAAACGGCAACAAGTCACCTTAAATGTCACTTTAAAGATAGTCCACAGGGGTGCTACGTCCCTAAATATAGCTTACGCAATAGCAGGGCCCAGTACAAACACATCAGCAAGTCAAAACCAAACAAGCAAGCAGTTTTTGCATACTTACCATCTGTGATTCCGCAGACGAAGACGACGAAGAGAAAGGTGCAAGTCAACAGGGCTCTCCCCATGGTTAGCCGCTAGCTGGAGCTGCTATCGCAGTCTTTTCTGTCCCCGCACATTCAGCAACGATTGCGTCACTTTATCACAAGCGACGCAATTTAAACTAAGTTACGCGCCTTTCGCCGAGCCACCGGCGCTCGGGTTCTAGTTGTAATGGATGACAAGTGTCGTTATCAATTTCGCCCCAACGCAGCTGTCACAGGTGCTAACAATGCTAAGCGAAAGCGCTTCACTATGGCTGAAATGACGTCTGGCTAACTAGTTAGCGTTATATGAGTCAAATAAAATCATAGCAAAGCGGCAACATGAAAAAACGCTTAGTCACAATAATGGTTTGCCACGTACGTCGTCATACTAAACGGGTACGTTTAATAACGAATGTGCAAAGAACCAACACTTAACGTTTGAGTGAAGCTGCTAGTGGCTACTAAGCTTGGCTCTTCCGGTTCTCACAATTCGACCAATCATCGCACGCCGGACTCTTTCTGTTCTCACAATGTTGACCAATCATTGCACTTTGGCTGGATGGGAGCCAATCAGCGTTGATCACTGATTAATAAACCAATCGTGTAGATACACAGTTATAGTTCGTAGGTGGGCTGGTCTGACGTACAAAAACACAGATGAAAATAATGTTGATAATAAATAATAGTTCGAATTCAATACATGTCTAATGACACAAATTAAATGACGGTTAAACCTGGCCAAAAGTACGTATGGGTTTAATAACTTTATATGAACTTTATTTTTTGTCCAGGTTCTCTAATGTTCTCGTGCAATGTGTTGAAAACAGACACCTAAAAGTCGATTGATCATTTACATTAACATTCGAGAATTTTTTTTCAGAATTCCTTGAAAACGGTAATAAATAATATACAATAAATAATAGAAAATAATCCGTCTCAGTACACACCTGGAATGCTCGAATTCACATTTTTTTTCATGCGCCGCCAAGGTAGTGACACGTGTACTCTTTGGCATTTTATCACCTACACGTAGATTGTCGAGTAGCCAGCAGAGGGCAACAAAATATGAAAAATGAGTTAGACCAAAACAGGAAGTGACGTAAGAGGATTTGACACCATCGATTAAGACATGTCAAATACTTTCACGAACTGTTGAACATCTGTAGTCAGTTTGAAAAAAATACTTTAAAAATATTTTTAAATATCTCTAGGACAAAACACGTACCATGAATAATGGCAAATAATTTGAGTCAAGAACAAAAAGTGGATTCTGAAGCAGAATAAATAAGAGTGTTATGGAAACTAAAAAGAGGGTCTGGAGAAGGAAGGTAAAAATGAGGAAGGAGAAAATCAGGTCAGAGGCGGGAGGAAAGCGGGGCGGCAGGCAGAAAAGCAGGCTTAGGCCACATAGGGATGAAATGAAAGGCAGTATGGGAAGATACATTTACAATAGGTCTGAGAAAACGAGGGTAAAGAGGAGATCAGGAAGGAAAAGCCAACCCCCCCCCCAAAAAAAAAAACCAAAACAAAAAACGTAACTACTAAGTCAGAAACTTAACACAATAGTACTTAACTTTTAAGTTTATTTACATGCTGTCGTAGTGGTCATTCGAAAAGCAGTTATAAGAAAAAAAAATCAATATTTTTTTTAAATCACAGTAAACCAAGTAATACAAGGCTCACAAACATCACAGCTTTGGAAAGGCGCAGGCTGTGAAAACTGTACACAATCAAAAGTGGCACACAAAAACTGCACTGCGGTGCGGCCGGCAACTTTGTATGCAGTCTGAAGAAGGCAGCCGAACAAGCAATGAGAACACAGGATGGGGGATTACATATTTGTGGTGTAATTTTTTTTTTTTTTTAATTTTTGGCGGGGGGGATTGGTGGGTTCAAACTCACTGCTTATGAGATTATGCAGGTCATTGCTCAAAACCATCCACAACCTTTTGAGTACCATCCAGGCAGTGAAGAGCACAACTAGTGGTTACAAATCTGCTTTAAATATGAACATTTCACGGGATATAAACCAAGTGTAATTTTTTTTTTGTCAAATCCATGCACCCAGTCCGAACACTTCAAGTGGTTAAAAGGCTTTGGGGGTGGGACTGTGCGGGTAGCAGCCAACTGGTTGAAGAACTTGGATGGAGTGGAGCCTTTTCACTGTGCCGCTTTGATGACCCACTCGGCTGCGGGGTTGAGCTGGAAGAGGTCCTTCATGAAGGTTTCCCTATCCAGACACCTCTCCTCTGGGGAGGGGCAATACAGGCAAACAATTTAATTGGAGGGAAGGAATAGAATAGAAATATAGATTGATGAAAAAAAATGGAAGAATGGATGTGTGTATTGTCTATTTAAGTGGATACTTGAGCTTCCACCGTATTTAAACGCGAGTACAACAGTAGTTGGACTTACTGATGTTTCCACCAATCTCATAGAGACGCAAGTCCTCTCGCTTCACTTTCACAGCACTATGCACGCACAAAAAAAGTAAGTCGCAGTGAGTAACGTAGTTCTCGGCGGTTTGGGCACCCAAGTGAGATTGAATGTGAAGCGGAGTCAGGACCTGTCCTGGCTGAGAAAGCGCGTGAGCACGTCGGCCGCCTGCAGGTCTTCGGTGAGCTGCAGGACCATGGACACTTTGCTGAACTGCGGTGCCTGCACGCGGATGAATCCCTGCGCGCTCTCGGGCTTGGCAGACAAAAAGAAATGGTGAAGGCCTTAACCTGTTCACACTAGAAAAATACTTCTATTGGAAGGACTCGCGACCCAATTTAATAGATATATCAATAAATATTTTTTTTCCCAAAAACTTTGTAAAAATAAATAAATAATTTGAAAAAGGTTGTATGCCATAAAATTGAATGTTAATTTAAATAATACAATCCACCAACACATTAAATTCAAAGATTACATGAAAAATTAAAAATACATTTAATACCAAATGAAATTGAATAATAAAATGAAATAAAAAATATGGAGAATCTCTTGTTCAACTTCACGGTTATGTGACGGGAACACAAAGAATTTCGTCTCAAACTATTTTTTTTTTTTTTAAACGATCACTAGTACTGTACATTCTGATCTATTTCCATTAGATGGCACTGTTCTCCATTACTCTACATTTAGGTTACGGTACTTAAAAGTTTATTTTGCTCTTATAACTCAAAGCTCAACAAAGCTCAATTTTGAGGGAATGCATTCACATCAATCGATCAAAAACAATTTGCCAATTATTGAGATTATGCCCTTCAAAATAATTGTTGATATAGATAGTATTTAGATTTGTAAATGTTTTTCCTTTGACATACTGTATATACAATATTACAATTCTCTATTTTAAACAAATATTTTTTGAAGTGATTATTTCAAGGAATATTTTTTTTCTTTCAATATATTTAATCAGAACTTTTCCGATGATGATCTTATTATAACTGGTGGGCCATTTTATGCAGTAAGTTACCTCAGGGGTGGCCCTGTCCGGCGGTTTGTCTGTGATTTTCTTCAGCAGCTTTCGCATGGCTCGCTCTTTGTTCTGCTTGCGCTGGCTCTCCATGTTTTGCTGCCGGACCTGCGTCAGGATGAACTTGGGGATCTAATACACACAGACACACACACACACACACACGCACACGCACACGCACACGCACACGCACACACACACACACACACACACACACACACAATACAAATTGACGTACATGAAAAGTGGTCATCACACTAAAGGTCATTTGGAGTCTTACAGTCCACAGGAGGTTCTGGTATCTAATGAGCAGCCGCACAATGTTGGCGGTGCCGGTCGCCATGGAGAACTCCTGCTGCTCCGTGACCTTTGAGCGACAGCCTTTGAACATGAAGATGTTGGGCGCCATGACGACCGAGACGTTGTTCAGGGTCATTTTGTTCTTGGCTTGGTGCTCGATCACGCGCTGGAAGAACTCCACGAGCGCCTGATGAGGGACAATTAAAAAAAAAAAAAAAAAAAAAAAAACACCCAAAATAAAAATTTGGGAAAATA